AAAATAAATTAAAAAAAAAAAAAAGAAAAAAGAAAAGCCCCTTAACCTTTGAGAATCCTCCCCTCCCCCCTTTTTTTCCAGTACTGGAACTGAACCTGGGATCTTGCACATGCGAGGCAGGCACTTATGCCGCTGAGCTATCTCCCCAGCCCTTCAGAGTCCTTATGCAGATCAATTCATCATTGCAAGAGAAGTGCTTTGAAGAATACAGAAAAGAATTGTGTGACTTAACACAGCGTCCACATTACTGAGAAGTGAGGTAACAGTGGAGTGGCAGGATGTGGCCGCAGAGAAACAGCGCCTCCACAGAGGCCCTAGGGTGCCCTAAGCTGTCCTTCTGGAACAAGGTACCGCCGTGACGCACTGACTTAGGAAGGCTAAAGTCAATCAGCAGTCTCCGCACCGTCAAATCAAGGGCCTGCAGGGCACTCCGCGTGCTGCGGGGGGCCTGGCAGCAGGGTGGGGACCCGCAGGCCAGGGCCACCCCATAAACGCACTCCAAAGACGCAGGCGGAGAGCACAGGCGCCCTGTAGCGGCGATGTGTGTGTCTTCTCCGACTCTTTCTCAGACTTGCTCTATCTCTGAAGGACTTCCTTTCCCCAAAGAGCACAGGACAGGGCCCCTCCCGAGGAGGCCGATGACACGAAGCCAGGGACATCTGGTCCTGAAAAGGGAGCACAGACCAGCCGAGATATAGCACAGACGGGCAGCATCCCAGTTTATTCACTGACACTGAAAAATCTCATTGCCAGGCATGGAGGTCCAGGCCTACCATGCCAGCACTCTGGGAAGCTGAGGCAGGAGGATCACCAATTCAAGAACAGCCTGAGCAGGTCAGCAATTTAGTGAGACCCTGTCACAGAATAAAAAACAAGAAGAGGGCTGGGGATGTCGCTCAGTGGAGAAGGCCCAGGGCTCCAGCCCCACTGCTGCAAACCAAGCCAAGCCAAACAACAGTCATCCCTGTCCTCAGGATGCAATGAATATTCAGATTCCTGTGAGCTCATGCCAACAAGACGAATCTGGGTGCGAATCACCCACTGCCTCTGCTGGGGCATCACAGTGGGCCCAGGCCCCTCGGCTGCAGGCTGAAATTTCATTTGCAGGTAAAAGACACTAAGTCCAATGGTCCAAAACTTCTCTCCTTTCCGGAGTGCTGGACGCACGCCCAAGCAAGTTCCTGTCTGTCCGCCCACTCCACGTTCACTTCCTTGTCTTCGCCTCTGCTCTGACGCATTTTTGTTGTTACTGCTTCTTGGGTTTGCGTGTGTGTGTGTTTAAGAGAATTTTAAAAATAGTTTAAAAAGCATTACAAATGATACAGAATTTTACTAAATAAAATAATAGGAATTCAACCATGGTTGTTATATTGCATAATGTTGTCTTCAAATTAGTTGTTCAGATTACCAGATGTGGGCATGCAAAATCAGTCCCAAAAATGGTATTAAAAAGGAGAGAAGAAAAGAGAAAGGAAGCATTCACAGCTCCCTGCAGTAGACCAGCAGAAATCAGCTTCTCCTCTGGACCTGGCTTTCCGCACAAGCCAGGCGCCTCCCCTCAGCCACGCCTCCACCCCTGCTTGGACGGCTGCGCATCCTGAGTTCTGAGAACTCTCTGCAGTCTACTGGACAATTATTAAACAGCCAAGTGGCAGAATCTACTCAGGTAGCCGGAAGCATGTCGCCATCGCCCATAGCCCAACTAGTCAAAGGGAACGTCCGAGCCAGCAGGACACCCAGGTCTACACACGTGGACGCTAGGAATAAGCTGCAGGTTCCAAGAGGCCATGTGCAGACCGGGCTGCCCAGTTCCCCAAGCCAGAGCCCTGAGCAAACCTGGGGGTTCAGACCACACCCTCCACTTGGAGCCAGTGGAAGGGCAGGGCCTGGGCTCCAGGAAGTGGTAAGTGCTAAAAGAAAAGACAGCTGGGTAATCCAGACATGTATAATGCACAGCTGACTGTGTTATCTCTTCTAAATTTATAATGATGACAATTTATGAAAAGCTTATGAGAATAAATTATAGATGACCCCTCCATCCATATCACAAGGCCAACTGCTAAAGGGTGGGGACCCATTAGAACAATCGGGCCTCTCAACCGACACTGCAGCACTTGCCATGGACGAGCGACACACAGGAGCCATCTGTCCTCACGTTGGAAGCTGCTTGCAGAAGACGGGCAAATTCCAGATTTTACTGAGCAAATGAAAGACAAGTATATATCAGTAGGCAAAATAACAACAGCCAGGCTTGGTAGCTGCGCCTGCGATCCGTCACCGCTGGAGGCTGAGCAGGGGGATTTCAAGTTTGAGCCCAGCTTGGGCGATTCAAGGACTTAGCAAGACCCTGTCTCCAAAAATTTCAGAGGGGGTCTAGGGATGCAGCTGAGTGCAGAGGCCCAGGGTCCCAGCCGCAGTACTGCCAAAAAACCGAGGCAACTCACTACCAGAACTAATTAACAATCTATAGACAAAAGAATACACCTTCACGCCGCAGTAATCTGGATATCCTCATACCTCTTGCTTTAAATATGCAACTCTCACCTTTTGCATAACATTTACCCTACCAGTTTATACATATTTATTTAGCGGTACCGGGGATTGAACTCAGGCCCTTGCACTTGCCAGGCCATTCTACTGAGCCATCTCCCCGGCCCCCAGTTTTCATATTATTGATAAAGACCTCCTTTCCGCACGACATTGTTACTGGGTATCACTACTATGGATGCATATGTGCCCCTAAACTTCACATGTTGCAGCCCTCCCCCCTGGGCGATGGTGTCCCAGGCCTCTGGGCAGGCTTTAGATCCTGAGGTGCAGCCCTCACGATGTGACCAGCGCCTTAGGGAGGAGACCCAAGGGCTTACAAAGGCCCAAGAGGTCAGCTGGCTGCAAACCCAGAAGTGGGTCTTAGGTCTAGAACTTTCCAGCCTGCAGAACTGTGAGAAATACATTTCTGTCATTTAAACCACACCACCCATGGTAATTTGTCACAGCAACCCACACTGACCAAGACAGGCATGATTTCATATTGATGAATTCCGGCTCCGGTGTGGCAGCTCTGTCTCACCCTGATTTTGGTTATGTTCAGGTAAACATGCTTAGCTTTATAATGTAGTGGGGTCCATATAATTAGAACTCCATAATGAAGTCTTAAGTTTCTAGGCTTCCTTATTACTGCTTTAATATGATATCTGGCTGTGACCAGTTATACAAAAGTAAACACTCATATGCAAAGTAAATTTTTTTTGGCCAAAATTAGATTTTATTCAGCTTTCCTTCCTTGCAGTGGAAATTATCTCATTTGCAAATTTGCATACGCTAAAAATATGTATAAATGGAAGAGGGCTGTCTGGTACAGCAAGAATAATCATTACGTAAGATGTGTTTCAGATGTTGGAAAAACAACGAAATTACAACTTCTTTAAAGCCCACGGCATTGTAAACTGCCCCAAAAATGTTTAGAAGAATATGAGTGCGCCAGGTGCGTGGTGCGTGCCTGTGATCCCAGCTGCTCGGGACGCTGAAGCAGGAATAACACAGGGGTGAGCCCAGGCGGGTCAGCTTACAGAGACCCGGTCTCAAAATTAAAATTTAAAAGAGGGCTGGGGATGGAGCTGAGAGATACTGTAGTTGCCTAGCATGTGTGCGGCTCTGGATTCAAGATTCCATCCTCAGTATTGGGGGAACAGGGGAAAAGGAGAGCAGGGAGGGAGGAAAGGCGGGAGGGAGGGGGAGGAAGGGAGGAAGGAAGAGAGACCTTTGTGGACTGACAAAGCGTAAAGCAGTGATGACTCTGGTTTCCAAGCTTTGCTTGTCAATAAGCCTAATTACGAAGGCACTTCAAGTGGGCGTTGATTCAGGTGAATCAAAAGAAACATGGGTTGGTGGGAGTGCAGGCTGGTGCAACCACTGTGGACATCAGCACGGAGGATGCTCAAAACACTAGGACTGGAGGCCCCACTGGGCCAGCCATTCCCCTCTGGGTATTTTCCCAGGAAAAGTATAAACATCAGACCACAGTGATATATGAGCACCTATGTTTATAGAAGCACAATTTTTAAAAAATTTTTATTTTTAGGGAAGGGTCTACAGGGTGTTCAGGGTCTCACTGCTAGATCGGACTCGTAGTGATCTGCCTGTTTACAGCCTCCCAAGAGCTGGGATTGCAGGTGTGCGCCACCACAATAAACATTATTTTTGTATTAGAAAAAAAAGATGGGTCAGGGCAAACTCAGTGAGAACTAAAGCTAGAACTAACTGGCATCACGAACAAGTTCTGGAAGGAGAATAGGTTATGTAAAATTGAGAGGTGATTACAGAAATTGAAGGTTCTAGAAAAGCCCCATAGCAGCAAAGCAGGAGAGGCAAAGAAGTCTCCTTTGGGGGTTTAATCCCTGGCTTCCTCCCAGCGTGGCCCCTGGCTGGCACCAGGGCTTCCGGCCACTCCCAGGTCTATCTGGAAGGTTGCACTTGGCGGAGAGGACCGCCTCGTCTCTGCTATCCTTGTGACTTGCGTACTTGGTTACTTCCTGCACGCTAGCTCGCGATGGTCCACGCCCTCGATGGTCAGGGATAACCCCAGCCAGGCCGCAGGCTCCTCCCGCTGTGGCGGGGCTCTGAGGAGGTGCCCTGCGGACTGGCCCTCTAAGGGCTGGGGCAGGGAGGTCACACCCTGCCACCTTCCTGCCTACGAGGACACAGTCCGCCCTTCCGACCTGGGCACACAGCCAGCAGCACACAGGCTCCAGATGCCTGGGCTGGGAGCTTCCTGCCCTGCGTAAATTATTGACTTCCAAGGGTTTTATTGTAATGGTTCCACGCTGGGCAGCGCTCCTGGCGTTCTGCTCCCTGCACCACGCCTGGAAAAGCAAGGAGGAGGAAGGCACAGCGCTCTCGCTGGGAAAAATTCACAGCCTCTCAGAGTAAGTGGACTTGTAAAGAAATGAGGCTGGGTTTATTCAGAAAATGCCATGGTAACATAAAAACTAATGTAGACTCCTACTTCAAGCTGAATGCCAAGATCAGCTCCAAGTGTAAATGTAAGAAGTAAAAGTTTTGAACCGGAAAAATCTCATTGTGATCTTGTGTTAATTAGCAAAGGATTCTTATGGTAAATCACAAAAGCATAAGCTTAAAAGAAAAAAAAAATCTAATAAAATGCACTTTTTAAAAATTAAAACTCAGCTGGGGAGATGGCTTAGTGGAGTAAGTGCTTCCCTGGCAAGCTCAAGGGCCTGAGTTCAATCCCCTGTTCCACAAAAAAAAAAAAAAAAGAAAAGAAATCTGTGTTTCTGGGGCTGGTGAGATGGCTCAGTGGTCTAAAGCACCTACTTAGAACAAGCTTAGCAAAGCACAGGGACCACGGTTCAATCCCCCAGCACCACATGCCAGCCAGCCCCGCCCCCTGGTGGGCTGAACTGGCCACACACACACACACACACACACACACATAAATAAATAAATAAATAAAATTTTAAAAAAAGTTTTAAAAAATTAAAACAGGCGGGGGGTACAGCTTAGTGATGGAGTTTTTGTTTGTTTAATTATTTATGTGATACAGGGTCTTGCTGTGCAGTTCAGACTCACAGTGATCCTCCTGTCTCCGCCTCCCCAGCGCTGGCATTACAGGCATGTGCCACCACGCCCAGTCTTGGTGGCTGACTCGGTGTGCCCAGAACCGGGGCCAGCATGGCATGTGGTACCAGGGATTGAACCCTGGTCCTTGTGCTTGCCAGGCAGGTGCCAAGACTGCCGAGCTATGTCCCCAGTCCTAGTGATAGAGTTTTTGGATAGCTTATGCAAGAGCCTAGATTCAGTCCCTAACAGCACTAAGCATGTTAAAATCTTTTGTACGTCAAAGGATAACATAGGGAAATGAAAATAAAACCACAGAATAGCAGAAAACCCGTGTATATCACATACCTAATAAAGGGCTTGTATCTACCCTATACAATAAACTGGCAGTAGTTTTGAATAAGGCAAATAACCCAACAACCCAAATCTACAGTGGATTCTAGTGTGCTACAAGGTGGACAGACTTCGAAAACCCCGTGCCACGTGAAGAGAGCCGGCAGAACAGGACAGACTGCCATTGTACGATGACACTAGATGAAGTCACTGTAGTGTGCAAGTTCATGGAGGCAGAAAAGCACAAGCGAGGTTACGGAGGCCAGAAGGGAGTGGGGCGGGATGCGCTGTCTGATGCATTTGGGACGACAAAGATGGTGGAAATGAGTGGAAGCGAAGGCCGACGTGGTCAATGGGCTCAGTGGCTCATACGTCTAGAAAAATGGTTAACGCGGTGCCTTCCCATACACCCAGTGGGCAGAAGGTGCGACCCCACACCTCCCCCAAGGACTACCCGATGACCACCGCACACCTGCACAAAGGCGCTCATGGTCAGCAGCTAGAGAACTAAAAAGTGAGAGCGTGAGACGCCCGCGGGCATGCACGCACGGGCAGGGAGCAAGCAGCGCCACAGGCACAGCTCGGGGTCACACACAGGGCCTGACACGCAGCAGGCCTTGATCACGTCACTGTCCCTGACACTGTCAGCGCTGGGGAGGCGGTGGAGACCCTGGAACGCTCACACACTGCGAAATGGAACAGCGAGCTTGCCACGCTGCTCTGTAAAATTACACACCAGCTCACTGGAAGACCAGCAGCTCCACTCCTAGCGAGTTATCTGAGAGAAATGCAAACCTTCTCCACGGGGAGGACTCGTACACAATAATATTCACAGCAACTTCAATGATAGTAGCTATAAGTTGGAAACAACCCAAATGTTCATCAATTAATAAGTGGATCAACGGAAGGAAGATGGTCTATTCATACGGCAGACTACCACTCAGACATAAAGAAGGAACTTGATACACTGGGGACACAGGTGGACCCCCAAAGAAGTTATGTTCATTGACAGACGCCAGAAGCAAAGGACCTCAATACAGATGGTTGCATTTACATGGAATGCCCAGAAAAGACAAATTTATAAAGACAGAGAGTCGGTGAGTGGCTGCAGTGGAAATAGGGCTTAAGTTTTACAGAGTGATGGCAAACTCCTCAAATGAAATTGTGCTGATGACTGCACAGCTCTATAAATCAACCAAAAATCACTGAATTGTATATTTGCAATTGGTGAATTATTGTGGTATTTAAATTATCTCTCAGTAAGGCTGTTCTTAAAAAATTACGAATCTGGCATGACAAAAAAGAAATGATCTAATTTCAAGAAGCATAATTAAGACAATCCCATGACTGGAAGTGAAGGCTTTCCCCAGTCTGGGCATACGTTTTCTATTCATTAGTTAATACTTCCATGTGGACGGCATCCCCACTGGCCAGTAACAGAAGCTCAGCCCTGAGCGACCTCAAACTCGCTAGATGACACTGTGTGGATCCTGTGATTGTTCACAGAACAGCAGTAAATTTAGAAATTTATTTATTTATTTATTTATTTATTTATCAAGGGGATTGAATTCAGGCCCTTGTGCTTGTCAGGGAAGCACTTATTCTACTGAACCACTTCCTTGGGCCCTATAAATTCTAAAACTATGCTAAATTAGATAATACTGGCCTTTCCGGGGCCCATTTCTCAGCAGAACAGCAATAAAGAGAAGCATGTGAGGCGATTCAGGTTTCCAGCCCACCTGAACTATTTCACAGATAAACACGATGGCCTAGAAACACTTAATCTGGAGCAGCAGAGGCTGACCTAGTAATTGATTTAATAGCTGTCTTCAAAGGCGGGAAGGGTTTCCCCAGAGAACTGTCTGAATAGTCCTCTCTCTCCCTGGAGAGCCAGGCATACCGCCCTGATTTAATAATCAGCAAGGAACACTTGGAATCAACACAAGCAACACCGAGGGGAACTACTGCCGACCTCCGGAAGCGGCTGGGCGTGCTGGAGCAGGCTGTGTGCCCGGCTGTCAGCGCGGCCAGCCGGCCGACAGCTCACGGGGAAGCACAGCGCTGCCCGCCTGGCAGCGAGAGCCCCGCCCCGCCCCGCCCGGCACACACCTTACCTCGATGTCCCGGTTCAGCTGCTTGACGATGGCAGTGATGTTGCGGATGTGCTCTTCCAGGAACAGCCTCGCCAGGCGGTCGCCTCCCCCTTTGTTCTGCATCTTCTGCAGACTGTTGACGATGTCGTCCTTGATCCGGAAGGCGTGCTCCACCAGGGCCGCCGTGGTTTTCTCGTGGCAGAGGATCCTGTCCTCCAGCTGCTCCACCAGGCTCACGGAGGAGTAGGGGGCCATGCTCAGCGACTGGCTGTGGCGGGGCATGGTGCGGACCCGCCTGCGGGAGGGACCGCGTCACCAGGGGTGTTGGTTGGGAGAACTGTACACCCAGATTCGGACTACAGCCTGACTGTCCCTGCGGGCTGCATGGGGTTGGAGCCAGGCGTTCTGCTCAAGAGTGAGCCCTTCGCGAGGCCTGAAGATACCTGAGCCCACAGCCCAGCAGTGGGTGGCACGCAGTCCCGTGACCTCCAAGAGCAGGAATCTGGCAGAGGTAGCACTCGGAGAGGCCCAGAGTGTGAGCTGAGGTGCTAAGGTCAAGCTTGTGGAGTCTGACAAGCTCTCCCTCCTTTCCACGGCCCACGCAATGTCACAAACTAGCTGCCCACAGAGCCAGGCAGGTGACACAAGGACAAAGCCCCTGGTGCACAAATCCCTGAGGGACTGACCCTGGGACTCTGGGGCTGGGTTTCTGCTACACAAATAGTGACCAACAGCAAATACAGGTCCCTTTTTGTCCTGTGGGCCCCTGATTTGCAACTTTGGATTTAAGAGGGTTATCGGGGACATTTTAAACTAAGTTAAGAGAGTTAACTCAGACCGCCAGACTTTAAGTTCAAGCCCACTGTGGGGCTACCACGAACTCACACAGTATAGTACAAACCAGAAGCCAAGGGAGGGCCCTGTGCAAAGCTTCTCTTGTCCTTGAACAGAACAGCTGGCAGCCACAGGCTTCGTGTATGGTAACCCTCACACCCACTGCCACCCTCGTGCCATTGGTGGAAGGGAAAAGTATACCTTAGATGCATATTTTCCTTATATTATATCTTTCTTCGGTGACAAGAGAAGGAAATGCAGGGCTCCATTGGGCCATTTTCTTTTTAATAATTCACATCTGTTGAAAAATAGGCACTAAATTATTTAACAGTTTATATCCAGAAGTTAAATGACCTCAAAAGTTTAAAGTTATCAAGTAGCTTGTGCATTATGCTGACACGCTGATCCATGATATTGTTAAGTGTGTTACAGCCTGTTCATGAAATGAGCAGCAAAAGTTTTAAAATAAGAATAATTGAATCTGGCAGCATCAAAGTGCTTCTGAAATCAACGCCGCTGAGCCTTGCTGAGCAGATCCGCCGGGACTGAGGAAGGGCGCTTCCGGCCTTTCCCATCTCCACCTGCCTTCCAAGCTTGAGGAATCACTTTTCCAGAAACAAAGCGACTCCTTTAGCAGTTTATTCCACTGTCCTCCTCCACAGAAACCTGCAGGGAGCCAGGTGGATTCGGCCTCGGTGGGCTCGCTCTACCGCAAATATGAGCACTTGACTCTAAGTCATCCTAAAGCCAGCAACACGGGACTGCTTAACGGGACCTGCTTTGGGGGAAGATGGTGACGTTCTTCATGAAAACGTTAAAGCTCTGCTACAAGACGTGATCATTTATCCGCAGCTTACCTGTGAGGGCCACGTGATCATCTCAACCGGAGTTTTCTCACGGATTTCATGTCATTCTCAGGACTGCTGCTACCTGGCATACCGCAGTGAGTGCCTGGTAACCGAGCTCTGACTCAGTAATTAGGGCTCGTTTAGAAACTGGATTCAAGAAACATTTCTGACCGACACCATTATTTTGGCAATCATCTTGCAGGTGTTTTATTTTTAGGGTTTCAAAATGTGAACATATCACTTTCGTAGACAAAGAACTTCAAAATTTAAACAAATCACTTTTAGGAAAAAAGTTATTCATGCTAAACAAGCTACAGTGCCTAAGGAGTTCTTAAGTATCAGGGATAAGAATTCCTGTCACTTAAGCTAAAGAAAATTAGGCCAGTGTGGAAAATGCTACGGTTTAGGGGTGCAGGAAACATTTAAAGTGCTAAGACCCTCTGGTTGAGATGTTTGTCTATGAACAGCCCGACTTAAAAACCACTGATGCGACAACCATTAGTGAGGTAAGACAAAACTCCCCCCACGCCCTCATCCAAAGGACAAGTGAAGAGCTGCGGTCACCCTCCGTGCTGCACTGTGCTCCGTAGATGCTGCTGCCACCCTGCCTGCCCCGAATACTGTTCTGCATCCTTCGGGGCCCACGACCCCTCCATTCTCTACAGCGACTCCCTGGTGTGTTCTATGCGACTATCGCCACTGTCCTCAGCACGGAACTGCCTACTGTCCCGTTAAACTCGATGCTCCTCGGAGCCAGGCTCCTGGTCTGCCTAAGTGCGGAGCAGACCCGGTGTACCCCGTGAATGGTAACGGCACACCCCATTGCCAGCAATTGCAGCGAGGAAGGCTTTGGGGAAGGCAGTTTGGATAAGGAGAGCTCTCTCCCAAGACTGGTGCCGGTGCTCAGTCAGGATCTGTAAATGAATGGGGCCTTTGCCCTCTGAATGAAATGAACAGGCTCTCTCTCCTCCCCACGGTCCACGCAGTGTCACGAACTAGCTGCCCACAAGGCCAGGCAGGTGACACAATGACGAAGCCCCTGGTGCACAAGCCCCTGGAGGACTGACCCTGGGACAGTCCCCCAGGGTCCCAAATGAACAGTGTACTCCTTGCCCTCTGAAGTCTGTTTCACTCATCTGGAATGACCCTGCCTGAGCCGCGGCAGCCCAAGCAGACCAATCTTCTACGTCAGGCGGGTAGGGCTGCTGTACACTTGCACTGCAAACGACCTACAGGCTCGGGGCAGCTCTGGCTGCTGCGCCGCTCCACGGGGGCCCTGACCCACTGTACAACAAACAAGCCCCCTTCATGCTTTTTTAACAAGTGGGGAAAACTGGGAGATGGGTCGGGTAGCTAAGAAAAAGAATGAAAAGACATAAGAAAGCTGGGGAGATAGTTCAGGGAACAGCACCTGCCTGGCAAATGCAAGGTTCCAAGTTCAATTCCCAGTACCCACAAAAAAAAAAAAGAGAGAGATAAAAGAAAGTGAAATCACCAGGCATGGGGCACACCTCTAATTGCTGCTCTCTGGGAGGCTGAGGAAGGATGATCCCAAGTCCCACCCAACCTCAGAAAATCTGGGACCATAGGGAGACCCTGTCTCAAACTTTTTTTTTTTTTAATATGTAGTACACGGTCTATAGGGTCTCACTACACAGATCAGACTCATAGTGATCCTCCAGTTTTCAGCCTCCCAAGCACTGGGGTTACAGGGTGCACCACCACGCTGTCTCACAGTCTCAGTGTGTTCCAGGGGCGGGGCCAGCATGGTGCACCAGGGATCGAACTCTGGTCCCTGCGTCTGCTAAGCAGGCCCTTTAATCCGCTGAGCTATCTGACCTGCCCCCAAATAAGCTTTTTAAAAGGGCTGTGGATGTAGTAAAGTATAAAGGTCCTTTGTTCAATCTCCAGTATCACAGAAGAAAAAGAAAACTCAAGATGCTGTAAATATGGACTATATCCACAGAATTGGGGAACTCACACAAAGCGAAGGGAAATGCTATCTAAATCAAGGGGCAGGGCCAGGGTGATAGCTCGGAGATGTAAGCGCCTGCCTGGCAAGTGCAAGGACCCAGGTTCAATCCCAGGCACTGCATGCTGTGCCAGCTCCGCACCAAAACAGCCACCAAAATCAGGCATGGTGGCGCATGCCTGTAATCCCTGCACAGGGGAGGCTGAGACAGGAGAATCACTATGAATCTGGCTGTGTAGCAAGATCCTTTACCAAATAAATAAAAAGACCTTAAAATAATAATAAAATAAACAAATCAAGGGGCAGATGAGATTGCTCAGGGTAGAGTGCTTGCTAGCATGCATGAGTTCCTTGGCTTAATCTTCAGAACTACAATTTTTAAAAAAAAGTGATGAAGATTCTGCGAAGGAAAAGCAGAGGGGAGTGGAGATATATATTATATATTAAATGGAACAAGGAGATATTTGCATCAACTAGTGTATCTTTATAAATAACGTGACCCCAGGTAGAAATATGACAGTATCCTTCTAACATAAAGTTATACATTAGAATGTAAGGAATTTAGGCTGTGCGTGGTGGCACCCATTCCTATAAACCCAGCACTGGGGAGGCTGAGGCAGGAGCATAATTGTGAATTCCAGACCATTCTAGGCTACCAGGTGAACTCAAGGCCAGCCTGAACTGCACAGGAAGACTCTGTCTCAAAAATAAATAAATAAATAAATTTAAGGAACTTAATGAATTTAACCAACTAAAATTGTAAAATTTTTGTGTTTCTTTGAGTCAGGGTCTGGCTGTGTAGTCCAGATTGACCTTAAACTTACTCTGTAGCCCAGGCTGGCTTCGAACTCGCTGTGATCCTCCTGCCTCAGCCTGCCCCCAGTGCTGGGATTACAGGTGTGCGCCACCCGCCAGGCGTAAAATGATCATTTTTACTGGAACACACAACAGCAATCACACAAAACCGGTCTCTCGCTGCAGCGACGCGGGGGGCAGCACCGGGAGCTCGGAGCGTTTGAAGGAAACGGCAGCCAACCCAGCCGCGGGAGAAGGCCAGCTTCGCCAAGGCCAAGCTGAAGAGGACGCAGGAGAAGGGCACCCTGCCGGCCCAGGAGACCACGAGCAGGAAAGGCGGGTGAGACTCCCGAGAGCCCCGTCACCTCGAGCCCCCCAGTCATGACGTGGGGAAGCGCCCCTCGCAAGACCCACGCGAGCCCCACGCTGCACGCGAACCCCGGCACTCCGCGCCGATGCCACCGGACGGGGGACCCTCGGGGGACCCCAATCGGACCGCCCCATTCTCCAATTCGCCCTGGGGTAGCACAGAACACTGTTCGGATGTTGAATGGAAATAAAACACACCTCGTGGCAAAAAAAAAAGAAAAAAAAATCATACAAAACTGAAGTTAGATTTTCACTATTAAACTATAGTGACGCGCATGCTGAGTGTCAGATATTTTAAAAAACCACAGGCAAAGCATTTATGAATGAAGTGGTTGTAATTCGGTGGGGGGGGCCTATGTTCCTCAGAGGTAAAAATAGAGCACAGGAGAGGGGGCGAGGAGGAGCGAAGGTGTGCGCACGGCAGGCGCAGGCGCTCGCAGACGCGCGGGCCTGGCTCTCCCGGAGCTGGGGTGAGCCCGAGCGCCAGCGCAGGCCGCGCGGGGCGGGGCGGGGGAACCCCAGAAAGGTGCCCGCGGCTGCTCGGTCTGCGACTGCGCCCCTCCGCCCCAGCCCCGTCTCTGGACACTCTCTCCCTAAAGTGATCACAACTTTGAGACCAGCTGAACGACATAGCCAGACCTTGTCTCTAGAAAAAAAAAAAAAAAAAAAAAATTCACAAGGATGATTTGTTATACAAATTTTGTTTGAAGAAATTTCTCATTCTTTTGGCCAAGATCGG